TCTTAATGTGTTCCTTTAACTCAATCCTACAGGAATTTGCTGAGCTACTCTGCTAACTGCCCTCCAGGCTTTCCACAAACCACCTACCGATCCCCACAGGGGTCCGCACTGTGTAGTGCAGACAGCCCACGTGGTCCATCTGCGTGCACTCTGACGTGTGGTGGAGGATGGAGGAAGCAAAGAACCGGAAGTTCTGTACCGACCGGGGAATGTCCATGGTTCTCGCCAGTGTTAGGGTTTTCCCTGGAAGAAGTAAACAATACGAAGCACCGCCAGTGTATCCCACCTTAAAGTTAGCAGGGACATTATTCTTCCACACATGTATCCCCACTCATACTGAAATATCCTCGTTTCTTTCCAGCCTGCGGCAGGCATACCTTGACCCTTGAAAGAGTTGATCATGGTTTGAATCAAACTAGGAAATCATTAGGTATGAAGCTATAAAATAAAATATGGGGTGAAAGATGAGTCAAACAATCTCTGCTTTGTGAGCTGAAGAGAATTCATGGCTACAGTCATGAATTTCCCAGATGCCTCCACTTCACCTGCACAGACTTGCAATTCAAAATCACTGGGTTTTCTAAGTGGTACAAAGGAATTGGAATAATGGGTGTTGAGACAGCTGTATTTGTACATTACAAAAAAACCCCACAATTTCATAAGCATGTGATGTTTGTTCAATGTCCTCCCAACACACTGAGGAACCATTAAGCTGGGCATGCGGCAGAGGCTGAGGGCTCCCTGACACAGGACGCTGCAGGCCTCAGTGGCTCCCCCACCCCACACCCCACACCCTACACCCCACATCCTAGTACCCTGCCCTCCTGGATTGAACAAACAGAGAAACACCAGCTGAATGATCCTTAAGTGACGCAGGTGGACTCAGCTTGTCCAGGGCACCAGCAAAAGAAACATTTTCTTTGCAAGGGCTTGGAGTCAGCCTACTTCCTAACTTTGGGTTGGTTTGTAGCAAGCGTGTATTTTGTAAAGATTTTGGCCTTTTCTAACTAACAGGTAATATTACAAAGATTTATAGACATTGATTCTGATCTCTGGGAAATCCAAGAAAACCACACTCACTGCCATCAAGTAGGATCTGACTCATAGCAAACCCTCCTTGGGTTTCCAAGGAGGTATCACTACAGAAGTAGATTGCCCAATCTTCTTTCCAAGGAGTACTTGGTGGGTTTGAACTGCCAGCCTTCTGGTTAGCAGTCAAATGCCTTAGGCACTGTTGTTGTGTTGCTGTTATGTGCCGTTGAGTCAGCCCCGACTCATAGCAACCCCTCCTTGGGTTTCCGAGGCAGTTATCACTACGGAAGTAGGATTGCCCAACCTTCCTTCCGAGGAGTGGCTGGTGGGTTTGAACCGCCAGCCTTCTGGTTAGCAGTCAAGTGCCTTAGCCACTATGCTACCAGAGCTCCTAAATATGCCTTTCCTGTTGTTGTTATGTGCCGTTGAGTCAGCCCCGACTCATAGCAACCCCTCCTTGGGTTTCCGAGGCAGTATCACTACGGAAGTAGGATTGCCCAACCTTCCTTCCGAGGAGTGGCTGGTGGGATTTGAACCGCCAGCCTTCTGGTTAGCAGTCAAGTGCCTTAGGCACTATGCTACCAGAGCTCCTCCTAGGCTACTAGAAATTGGGAGTGGAATAGTGACTGACATCAAATATTTTTCTAAATAACTTGACTGTGTAACTACTCTTCAAATATCTTTGCTTTGATATTCTCTACTTAGACTAGTGGAACTTGTGGAAGACTACATTATCATCTCCAGTTCTCAACCTCTCCCCATATCCATGTCCTTGTCATACATATTTTATTTCGTTCCTCCCACCAAAGGGACAAAGTATATTTCCCCACCCCTTGATTTTGAATTCAGCCATATGACTTGCCTTGGCCATTAGATGCAGGCAATAGTGTGGCAGTTCCAAGCTCAGCCCTTAAGAGCTGTGTTTTTGCCTTCTGCCTGTACCATTGCCATGGGAAGAACATGCCGGTGGAGAAAGATGAGAGACATGTGGAGAAGAATCCAGCTGAGCTTCCTCACCACGCCCACACTACATCAGCCATCCTCCAGCTACCCCAAATATATTAGCAATAATCATTGATTTTTGTTTTCAGCCACTGAGTTCAGGGAAGATTTGTTAGAGAGCAGCAGTTAAGTCCTATGGAATTCAATAAAAATAAAAACAAGACTTTGGTGAGTCAATGAAGGTACAAAATACATGCTCAGAATCCAAGTACTATATTGGTGGTGGTGGTGGTGGTAGTGTATGCCATCGACTCGACTTATAGCCAACCTATAGGACAAAGTAGAACTGCCCCATAGGGTTTCCTACACTGTAATCTTTATGGGACAGATCACTAGGTCTTTTCTCCCTTGGAGCTGCTGGTGGGTTCAAACCACCCACCTTTTGGTTAGCAGTTAAGGGCTTAACTGTTGTGCCATCAGTGCTCCTTATTTTACAGAACTGGCAAAATCTTATAGATAGTCTTGTTTTGTAGCTAAGGAATCAGAAAGATGAAGTTGTTTCCTTAAGGTCAAACAGTTTATTAGTTGAAAAACCAAGACTAGAACCAAATCACCTAATTTCTATTCTAGTGTTTTTCCCACTTCACCATTTTCTCCTGATTCATATCCATAATTATACTTCGGCCCAAACTTACAAGATAGCTTCTTAGGAAACTACTGATGTTCCTTGTAAAAATGTTGCATTTAAATGCAGCAAGTCACTTGGTATGTTCCCCAGTGCCCACAGGTCTTGGGAGCTTTCCTATCCCGACACCTGGACTCAGAGCACTGAGAGAGCCTTGTGATCTGTGATAGAATTCCAGAGACTCAGGCCTGAAGGAGTCACATGTAGACATAAAGACATAGCAAAGGGATGATCCCAACTGGCTAGATACCTAAAGGTGCCCTGATCCTCAATTCCTCATCTGGAAACAAGGGAGGTAGGATACATGGTGGTAGCCTAGTGCCTAAGCCATTTGACTGCTAACCAGCTGTGGTTCAAGCCCACCAGCCACTCCTTGGAAGAAAGTTTGGGCAATCTACTTCCATAGTGATACTGCCTCAGAAACCCAAGGAGGGGTCACTATGGGTCGGCTCCAACTCAACAACAGTGAGTTTGGTTTGGTTCATGCCTAAATAGGAGCTCTGGGGTGCAGTGGTTAAAGCATTTAGCTGCCAACCAAAAGGTTAGCAGTGTGAACCCATCAGCTGCTTCGCAGAAGAAGGATGAAACAGTCTATTTACAAAAAGATCCATAGCCTAGGAAACCCTCGGGGCAGTTCTACTCTGTCCCTGTATAGGGGCATTATGAGTTAGAATTGACTAGCTGGTAGTGGGGAGGGCTCATCACTAATATTTAAAGATCACATCCTCTTACCACCCTTATTGTAGCAGTACCCACACCCAATCCCTGACATCAAAATGGGCATTTTTGGGATCAAGATCATGTTCTAACTATCCATCTTGGAATTTTGGAGCAGTCTCCTTGTGCTATAAGCTTAAAACAGCCTGTCCTATGTGTATAATCCAAGTAAAGATTGAAGAGAAGATTAAAGTTGTCAATAATTTCGTTTTATTTGGGTCCACAGTCAATACCCCTGGAAGCAGCAGTCAAGAGATCAGATAATGTATTGCATTGGGCAATCTGGTGCAAAAGAGCTCATAAAGTGTTAAAGAGCAAAGATGTCACTTTGAGGACTAAGGTGCACCTGACCCAAGCTGTGTATTTTCAATAGCCTCATATGCATGCAAAAGCTGGACAATTAATAAGGTGGACTGAAGAAGTATTATTGTTGTTAGGTGCCATCGAGTCAGCTCCTACTTTGAGCGACCCTGTGCACAACAGAACGAAACACTGCCTGGTCCTGCATCAGCTTCACAACCCTTGCTATACCTGAGCCCATCATGTTAGCCTCTGTGTCAATCCATCTTGTTGAGGGCCTTCCCCTTTTTTGCTGACCTTCCACTTTACCAAGCATGATATCCTTCTCCAGGAAATGGTCCCTTCTGACAATGACCAAAGTAGGTGAGATGAAATCTGGCCATTCTTGCTTCCAAGGAACATTCTGCCTGCACTTCTTCCAGGACAGAGTTGTTAGTTCTGGCAGGCCATGGCATTTTCAGTATTCTTCACCAACAACACAACTAAAAAGTATCAACTCTTCTTCAGTCTTCCTTATTCATTGTCCAGCTTTCCCATGCATATGAAGCGATTGAAAACACTACGGCTTGGGTTAGGCACACCTTAGTCTTCTGAGAGATAGCTTTGCTCTTCATCACTTGAAAAAGGTCTTTTGTAGCAGATTTGCCCAGTGCAATATGTATTTGGGTTCAGCCATATGGCTTCGCTTTGCCTTTATAAGGAAGCAGTAGTGTGTCAGTTCCAAGCTTAGGCCTTAAGAGGCCTTGGGGGTTTTTTGTTTCCACCTCTACCACTGCCATGAGAAGAACATGTCTATGTGTTGATGCATTTGAATTTCAGTGTTGGTGAAGAATATTGAAAATACCCTGGACTGCCAGAAAAACAAACAAATCTGTCTTGGAGGAAGTACACCCAGAATGCTCTTTAGAAGCAAAGATGGCAAGACTTAGGCTCATGTACTTTGGGCATGTTATTAGGAGGGACCAGTCCCCAGAGTAGGGCATCCTGCTCGGTAAAATAGTCAGCTAAAAAAAAGGAAGACTCTCAACGAGATGTATTGATACAGTGGTTGCAACAATGGGCTCAAACATAGCAATGATTGTGAGGATGGTGCAGGACCAAACAGTGTTTTGTTCTGTTGTTCATGGGGTCACTAGGAGTCAGACCTGACTCGATGGCACTTAACAGCAATAACAATATATATAACACAGAAACCCTGGAGAGGGCAGTTGGGCTGAAGGCAGAATCCCTGCCTGCTACATGTCACAGTTCTGGTCTTCTAATGACCAGTCAGGGAAATCTCCTGATAAACTAAGCTCAGTAAGATATACAGGACTCCATGGACATGGAACACAAACCAGGAAGAACGAGGATCTCTGTTGCCAGGACTCTCAGCCTCCCTGTAGGATAGCAGACAGCATTTGGGGAGTGGGAAGGGCTTTCCAGTCCTCCACAGGGACTGCACAACATGCAGGAGACTGCGTTCTCTACCTGTGTGTGATGAGACAGGACTCGCCTTCCAGGATCTGAGGGAATGCCACAGGGTAGCAGAAAAGGAGTGCAGAGACTAACGCTTAGTTCCCGGAGGAACACCAATGAAGGGGCCTCTGGAAGTCTAGAGGCAGGAAATAAGAACCCGAATCTCATTCATTACGGTTCTGAGGTGAGAGATTATTTGACAAACTAATGGAATGAGGACATTAATCACCAATATCTGAGCAACGTATTCTACTTTTCATAAAACACTCAGTAAGAGACACCTGCACTCAAACCATCCCTGCTAGAGAGAGACCATGTATACAATGGGAGACAGAACAGTCCTGGTGAGACATCTTACAGATGGACAAGGGGCACTAACCTTGGTCTTTGGACTCTGCCTGGGCAAACTCCTCCAGGGACTGCTCCAACAAATCCGCCAGCCGGATCAGGACCTGAGTGCGCTCCTGGGGGCTTCGGGCTGACCAGCCTGGAAAGGCTTCTCTGGCAGCCTCAACTGCAGCCTCAATCTTGAAAGAACAAATGGGAGAGGGCCTGGAATCCACAGGTCCATACCTGACATTCCCTGGTGCCGACTTACCCACAAAGCAGAAGACACAGGTATAGGTATGACTAGCAAAGCAAGGGTGCCACAAACACAAAGATAAATGCCCATTTCAACCAGTGTGCCCAGAGGGTGACGAGCAGATCATGAGAAAGAACCAATTGTGATACATGTATATTTTCAATCACTTAAAAAATATAGTATTATTCTGAATATTTTACAGGAGAGAAAATTGAATGCAGGTGAGTAAAATCTCAGCAGCTCTTACCACACCTGTGCCAGAGCTGGGAACGTCTAAAATCTTGTGTGAAATCACATCTTCAAACTGTCAGTTCACTTGGAATGACTAACTTTATTAACC